ACATGCCTTAGACCACGCGGCTGCTGTGGCCGGCAGTGTATAAGAATAATATATAAGAATTCAGTTCGTACCTCATAGGAAACAGATCCGAACCCACGATCCCGGCTTCCAAGCAAGCGAAGACAGTGCATGCCTTAGACTTAGACCACTCGGCTACCGTGACCGGCAATATAAACTAACTACTGGATATAATTTTGATTCAAGATGGCTGGATGCACCGATAGAGCCTCCTGCTTTATCAATCCGGAGGAAAAGAGAAGATGGAGATCTAGGAGATGGCTGCACAATGCACATCACTGGCATGGCCGCCATTTTCCTTGCCCTCAATATTAGAGCAACTATAGAGATCTGGAACCCTGATGTCCCCCTCCCTTCTCTGTACAGAGAGCAAGATTAAATCTGTGTCCTGAAGCCATGGTATTGCAGTGCTGGTAAAAACACATTTCTGTGGAAATTTTGAAACTCTGTATAGTTCATTCCATTCATTCTTGAATATTTGAATGAAATATATAAATATGCAAGGCAATCTACTCTTCCTTCATGTTCTGGAGGTCCCGGGTTCAAATATCGACACGAATACCGGCTATTCTGACTGAAGTGTTTGTAATTTTCCCTGCCGTACTGGGCAGATGCCAGGATAGAGGAACGGCCTCTTGCTTCCCAGTTCTTTCCGATATTTTAGTCACTATTCAGCCTTACGAGAACTGAGCGATTGGCTAGCTCAGATCCAATTTCTGTCACCTTGTAGTGTGACTGGACGTTTGGTTAGATCAGATTCGACATGTGACTCGTAGTTGTAACTCCAGCTCACAAACAAACAAATGGTGACCTAACGACACTTCTGGTGGCAATGCACATCCTACATTATACTTGTATAAGCACTCAAGCATAAGTAAAGTAAAGCTATCCCTGTAACAGGCCGTGGAGTCCCATAGGGTTGTGAGACGTCGAGGTTCCCACATTTTCTATACAATCGGCTAACAGAGGGCGGTAAGGTTAAGTAAAGGTATCCCTGTAACAGGCTGTGGAGGCCCATAGGGTTGTGAGATGTTGATGTTCCCATATTTTATATACAATCGGCTAACAGAGGGCGGTAAGGTTAAGTAAAGGTATCCCTGTAACAGGCTGTGGAGGCCCATAGGGTTGTGAGACGTCGAGGTTCCCACATTTTCTATACAATCGGCTAACAGATGGCGGTAAGTTTAAGTAAAGGTATCCCTGTAACAGGCTGTGGAGGTCCATGGGGTTGTGAGATGTTGAGGTTCCCATATTTTCCAGACAATCGGCTCATAGATGGTGGCAAGGTTGTCAGCCCTATGCACTGGGCGCCCTTTACCCCCAAGAATTTTCCTGGTAGTCATTTCTGTTAAGAGGCTGAGTCAACCCCAGGGCCATAGTGCGGCTGGAAGGATTGGGTCAATTGAAAAAAAAAAATCCAGTGACCTCATCGTGATTTGAACCCGTGACCTTCCAGCTTGTAGCATAGTGCCTCAACCAACTACACTACAGCGTGCCCCCAAGCATTAGTAAATAAACCAGAATGTAGTAAAAACTTCAGTAACAGTAGCACTGACTGTAGAACTAGCCCCTTATACACTGCTACATGACATGAATTTCAACCAATCTAATTAATCATGTTTGTGTTAAAGTTCAGCCAAAATACCTCAAGGGGAGAGATCATATCGAATTTGTGTCGGTAGATGGGAAGATACTATTAACATCAAACTTCAAAGAAATGGGGGCATAAGTGTGGACTGGATTAAGCTGACCCGGGTTTGGGACTTATGGCAGGCAGTTTTGAACACTGTAATAAACTTTATAATTCAATAAGAAGCAGTGCGTTCTTTTTGACTAGCTGAGCAACTATTAGTTTTTCAAGGATGACTCTACTTCTTGGAATTACATAGTTGTTTTTGAGTCAGTATAAAATAATCAGAAATATGAAGAAGTCTAAAAATTAAATAATTCCTTACATTATATGCTGTAAAATGGCATGCAATGGGACAACCTCAATGTCAGAGCCATCATGTTGAAGACACACTTCAGGTTTTGGATATGGGTTTCGAATAGTGCCATATGATAAGTTGTGCTGTTTCCCTATAGGTGTCACAGAGATGCTTCATTAGATATTCCTACAGGTGGGAAACTGGCAGCATGAGAACTGAAGGGTGTGGATAGTTTCTGTGAAAATGAAACATCCTGAAAAATTTGATGCCACCTGTTTTCCTAATTGAATAATTGTAGGTGATCTTGCTGCAGACATTGCATTCAAAGACAATGGCTGCTGGCACAATAGAATAGCTAATAAATTGTATCATTGGGAGAATTCCTTATTTCAACATAGAGTTACGGTTTTTATTCTCATACAGCACAAACAAACACAGGATTCCATGTCCAGAAATGCAATTTTTTCTCTATGCAAAGACATCAAAGAAGCTCTTCTCATCTTTGAAAACATGTAACTTTTTACTTGTTTAATAATGCACTCTGATAGATGCATATAACATTCATTTGAAAACTAGTATCTTCTTGGAAATATTCATCTTTATACTGCATTATGAGGGCTCACTTGGCCCTTCATTTTGACCCAGTCCACATGACTGAAAAATATTTTATTGTAAAAGTTTTCTCAGCAAATTAATCACAGATTTGCTGCCATTTAACCCAACAACTGCTGAAATGAAGGTGATTCTATAAGGATGGGAAGGAAGTGAATGTGACCTCTTGTACACGTAGAACATCTTTGAGAATGTGTGACATAGCTATCATTAAAATGTTATTAAGAGTTTCTTTCAAGCAAGAATGTGAACTAGAATTGTTATACTGCATATCCTGCTGAACATGCAGGACTTTTCCTCCACAAGATTGCCCCTCAGATGTGTTGTAGAGGAAGTATACTTTGTGTTTCTTTCCCTTATTTTGATATTCATTAAAAATATATCCTAAATACAATACAACAATAAAAATATATTTCTTTTATTTGTACACAAAAATAGATTCTGCATAATACATTCATATAAACAAAGATATATAAATATACACACAAAAGATCTCAAGTTAGGATACATTTACATTTAGTTAAACTTGCAGTTGTAACACGCATAATCTTACAGACCTACCTAATCATAACTTGCTTGCAAAAGCAGATGTTTAAAGGTCTTTATATTTTATTTTGCTGTATTTTTCTTTTGTCAGACAAATTGAAAAGGTACAATTAATATCAAAAATATTGACTAGTGGTATATTACAGTTTATAAAAAGAAATTAGTGGAATAATAATGATGGGTATTAATGCTACTGTTAATGCAGCCGATGCAACCATGATGGACACAAGCGCTTAGGGCATGTGCTGGAAATGTTACACATTTATTTAACAATAGATCACTCAGTCTATTACTAATTAGTTATATTACATTAATGTTTATACCATACTGATCATTGTCATTGTACCATAATATTGTGGATTTTGCTGATAGCAAACTGTTTCACATAAAAATAGCTACTTCACGACTTGAAACCATTACTTTCAATGTATGAAGTCAGAAATGTGGAAATGTATGCCATAACTCAGAATTTGTGAAGTCAGAAATGTGGAAATGTATGCCATAACTCAGAATTTGAAGTCTTATGTGTGAGTTTTGTTATTTTCCTTTTATCTAAATGAATAGTGTAGCAAGAAAATCTGCCTCACTGTATCAATCCTGCTGCAGTGTATTGTAATATTGTATCAGATCCATAGCTCAAGTTTGTAGGTATGAATAATACTACATACTGAGCAGTAATTGAAATATCCTCTGTAAAAGCAAAATCAGAAATATTGTGCATAAATTCACCTCAGTTTACTCAAAGGTAGAAGGAATGGAAGGAGTCGATATGCTGCAATCAAGAATCATATTAGAGTAGGTTCATTAATTCAGGGGGCATTATTGTGTTTCTGGACTTTGTCCATTGTTCAGTATTCTGAAAATGTTCATTCAGTATACCAGAAGATGGACAAAGTCTGAAACTCAAGAATACCAGGCGTAACTTACCACTGTCAGAACACTTTAGAATTGATTTATGATCATGAAAACCATTCAAAACAGTTTTATGTCTTTAGGTTTCATTTTGTTTAACGTTGTTCTCTCAGCTGCATAGATTATATAGTGGTTGCTATAACCCTACACAGTAAATATTTCATTCTAAGTAGCAAAAGGAATCAAATATGTAGCATGTCAAATCTGAGGTTCTCACAGGAATGACTATGAAGAATTCAGTCTTCTGGGATGTAATGCCATGTAGTCTGCTCCATGTCAACTGTTTCAGAGAAATATGGTGCCCCCATCTTCAGGGTTGAAGAGTAAGAAACCAGCATGAAAAAGGCAAAGGAAACATGTTCCTCTGAAATGCTGCTTGACTCTCAACAGACTGCACCATATTATATATACCACAATACGGAACTCTTCACAACTGTCTGGAGTGTATACCACATTTTTTTACATACTTGCTAAAATTATAATCTAATCAGTTATCAGCTAAAATTAAAACCATCTACCACACTTAATTATTTCATGCACTGCACTGTGCAGTGACAGTAAGAAATCTGAGTTCTTTAATAACGTTGATATTGACTGATTCATTACATTACCATTATTATTATACAGACAGCATTTAGAAGCAGAGCCAGCTCTCAAAATGTTCAAGTCAAGTATGCTCCAGACATTGTACAGTGTACATTATGCTTTCAGTGTAAAACTGAGTCACTGCTTCTATAGTTTATCATGTGGTTCTGTATGCATGTGAAATATAAAAGCTCTGCCAATGGGTGCTAGGAGTGTTCATTTTGCCCTGTGGGCAAGCCAACAGGAATGAATTCCGCTCCTCCATTTCCATCCTGTTTAATATATGATCCAAAATTTCAGCAGGCCAATTGCTCTGCTTGCCACCTGGTTTTACATTGGTTTCATGCTCTTCTTATTCTTTGCCCCTGAAGATGGAGGCGATATTTTCCTCTGAAACGTCACCTGACTTTCAACGAACTACACAGTGCTATATCCCAGAAGATAGCACTCTTAATAACATATCTGTCAATATAATAACCACTCACTCAAATATAAGGGTAGAACCAACTCCAAAAACATTGTATATATCAAATACACCTTCCACAATGGATTATGTCCAACATAATATTTCTATAATGATCCAACACTGTCACAAACCTATAGAGAATAATCTGTTTTTAAAACCTAATTTTCAAACATGGTTTTGGCTGACATGTAAGACTTTCACAGGTTGGATGCATCAAATTGGTGGTTGTAGAATTCATGACAGTCAAGACAAAAGATTATAAATTATAAAATATTATTGATATATAATTTGAAGACTATTTACCTGTGATATCTTCTACAGAAAACTATCTCAGCACGTTGTTACAAGAGAAGTTTGTGTTAATATACATTTTAAGCTAATAACAACAAAACTGCCTTTTCCACAAGGACAAGTGATATATAAAATCAACAATAATTTACACATTTATTTTTTACTCATTATATGGTCTTATTACATAACTAATATTATCATTTCCAGTGTATCACTTATAATAATTTAAACCAATTTTTAAAAATGACTAGGTTTACTGTTTCAGTCATTCTAATGAAAATAAAAAATCATTTACTTACAAGACAAAATAATTTATTATCAGAATTCATCTGCAATGACTAACTGTAGAAATTCTTCTTGAACAACTAGGACTATTTCATGTAGATTTATTTCATTCAACTATCTATTTTATAATGTATATTACTGTACCTTGAAATTGTAATAGACACATAATCCTGTTAATTTCCACTGAAGTAGAACAGAGAATTCAGCAACCTCACTGTTAGATTTATAAACATGAAGCCCTTGTTATATGTAAAGTTTCACATGCATTTGAGGACACTTAACTATTACCATTAAACAACATGCACCATTATCAATGGCAATACTTTATAAATAACTGTTAGACTTATGCTCTTGTTAAAATGAAAATTGAATTATGTAAGGAGATTTAACAGAGTCATTGAAAACTATACGAGTCTGAGGACAGGATGATTATAAAAAATTAATGTGTAACTGATAATACCTGTTGCTGTGTGAGATGGCTATGTGAAATAGATAGTTTTTATTATGATAGTGCAAAGCAACATCATATAATATACATTAAATGGAGTACATATTGTGCCACCCCAGGGTAAAACTGTCCCTGTAACAGGCTGTGGAGGCCCATAAGGTTGTGAGATGTTGAGGCTCCCACAATTTCTAGACAATCAGCTCACAGATGGCAGTAAGGTTGTCAGCTTTACGCGCCGGCTGCCCTTAAACCCTCCCACCAGGAAGATTCCTGGTAATCATTTTTTTTAAAGGTTGAGTTGATCCCAGGGACATAGTGTGGCTGGAAGGATTATGTCAATTGAAAAATCCAATGACTTCATCGGGAATTGAACCCACAACCTTCCAGCTTGTAGCATAGTGCCTCAACCATCTGTGCTATAATGTACCCCATTAGGTCCAAAAGTAATTTCTTTTCACTGTTAACTGTATGATCACTAATGTTATCTAGTAACCATATACTACAGCCACTGAATTTGCATGAAGCAAAAGTTGGATACCACCATAACTTTGAGATAGTGGGAAGAGTGTTTTCATCTGTGCTATAATGTACCCCATTAGGTCCAAAAGTAATTTCTTTTCACTGTTAACTGTATGATCACTAATGTTATCTAGTAACCACATACTACAGCCACTGAATTTGCACGAAGTAACAGTTGGATACCACCATAACTTTGAGATAGTGGGAAGAGTGTTTTCAGTCAGAGCCATCAAAATAATTTTGTATCTGTAGATGTGTATCAAATTTAAATATTCAAGAGTTAAGAAATAATTTCAGAGAAAGTTCCTTTTTGCAGCTGCAGCTATATGTCACATTATTGTGTAAATGTTGCTTGATAATTCAGTGATTGGGAATCTCTGCTTGGCGATTTATTGCCGATGTGGTACCTTTCCGTATGTCCCACGATGAGATTCTTCTACCAGTTGTTGATAATAGCTCAGTACAACTAGCCACAGGTACACCATTAAAGCTGTATCAAAATTATACATAATATAATTAAATCTGTGCTGGATTTGTGTATGATTTAAGCTTCACATTGTCTGACATATTACAAGAATATATTTTATCACAACATACTACTGACAAAATTCACTGATATATAAAATGCCATAGTGTATTTACCATATTGTTTTATCTGCCACATTTTTCTGTGCTGACAGTATTAACTTTTGAGGTACATTAAATTTGCCTTAGTTTTTTACTTTCCCTTGTATCTACTCTTACATGTATAAATTGGTAACATGCTTACCAACACCAAGAAGTCCAAACACAAGGACTAATGTTCCTGTTGTGTTGTGATTACTGTCATAAAATTCTACTGCTGTCCAAATGACTGAAATAAGTCCACCAATTGCAATCATAATAGACAACATTATCCATGGCAACATCATGAACTTGTTTCGCTGCAACAAATATAAATTATTAAATATGGCATGTACTTATTTATGGTATACGAATCACATTCAATACAAAGTATAGCTAGTATCACAGACTTTTATTTACCATACAAATAAGTTATTTTTAAATTAGAGCTTTACTCTTGACATTACAACATAGCAAACCATAAAGATCACTCCCGTCATATAACAAAAATGAAATACATTATATATTATTATGATGTACTTGATAATATCTATCTTAAAAAAGATTCAGCATATGAAAATTCTGTATAATATAAAATTTTCGAAAAATTCTGCTTGAAGAAATTTAAACCAGTAATATTTTTCCTGCAGTCCACTGGATGAAAGCTCTTTACAAATAAACTATGCTATATATGGCCACATACAAATAATATTATCCTTAATGTCACAGGTGACGCTAAACTATTTCTGATATATGTATTTCGTTTAAAAACATCAAGCTCATACCACCAGTTTGGGATGTAAGATGGAATGTATCTTGTGCTACAAAAGCTCCATGCTATAACAGACCATATTTCATAAGGTTCCAGTGTGCTCATTCAGGTAAAATAATGTGACAGATTTGGTTGGCCAATGTACTGTTTTAAGCATAAATACCAGTAATACCTTCCAGTTTAAGCTACTATTGAAATCTGTATTTTGGAATGACAACAATAGATCAGAATTACACTCACAGAGAAATTAAACGCAGATTGAACTAGAGGAATGCTACCAATACATTCCGAAACTTTTTGCCTTTCCAGCTCTTACCAAAAAGTCTAAAGACTAATATTCTGTCACAATTTAAGTGATTGACATGGGGTTTGGATTGGTAACTGGCTTTACTATGATCTTACAAATCGTAACTACAAGTATTTATAACTTTGTGCTTGCCATATAGCCTCTTTTGTTGCATGCATGTGACAGGGTGCTAAGGTGAACATCTGGACCTAAGAGGGGGGAAGTAATATGAAACTGGATAATAATGAACAATGAAGAAATTCATAATTTGTACACTTCATATAATATTACTAGAATGTTCAAATTAAAGAATATAAGCTGGAATGGACATGTGTTCAACATGGAACAGTTAGGAACTGCTTACAAAAGTTCAGCCTGAAAGCCTGAAGATCAGGTGTGAGTACTACATTATGAAACATCCAGAAAAATGTGTGAGACTGTCCATACAAATGACTAAATGAATGTTCTTACCTTGACTGCTCCCCATATAAGCAGAACAGAAATTAGTACTGTCATTACCAGGTTCAATGCAATGATGATTTTTACTGAAACAATAATATATTTATAAATAAGAATATAATAATACAGTGAAGGTGCAGGTGCTAACCTGAATATCTGAATGGTGAAAAAGAAAAGAAGTCAGCTTCTATATGAATAAAAAGTTATCAGGAGGATTAATGCTCAACTGCAGATTATAAAAATGCCAGAAAACTGGGTTTGCATATTCTGTCTTATCGTTTGCAGCAGACTAATACATTCATTGAGTGCAACATGGTGAAAACTTCACATGAAAGAGGACAGTAAAACCACTGTGTATTATCAGCAAATTTCTTTCTTCTAGCAGAAGATACTGTTATTTTTTATATATTGCTCATAAAAAATTAATCCTAAAAAGCAAGACATAAATCTAACAAGACAGCAAGAAGAAGACACTTTTCAAATAGAAACTTCTGTACCAAATAACCATCTACAACAAATGTACCAAGAAGAAATAAAAAAGTATTACTGTTACCTCAAATGGAAGAAATGAAGTACTATTGTGACTTTTGACTCTATATACTTCTAATACTCTGACTTTCATTGAAGAGAATCTCCATTGAAACATCAAACATCTAGTAGCACATCTACATTCAGCTTAAAATATCAGTGATAATGAAAATCCGTTCCAGTCATCAGATTTTAATATCTGTTTACAATAGTGGCAAAGTGTGACAATTTCAAAAGTGCTAACAAAACCCTAAGGCAAACAACAATTATGCATACATGACATAAAAAATTAACGTTAAGGAATGAAAGAGGAAGGAAATGTAAACTAGTAAAAAAACTATTAGGGACTACTGAACTTTTGCTTTATATTGCACCCCATACTTTAATTCAGTGCAACAAATATGTCAGTGAGAATATCTCTGACCTGCAAGCACACAAGCAACTTCTTAATATTCCCTATTTGGCTAATAAAATAGCTTGGAATATTATGCACTTTTTCTTCTCAGCCTAGTTCATGTCTCTTCTCATTGTGCCTGCCATCACATACAGCTAGCATATGCCTGAAGGAAATGGCTGACACACCTTTGATGTGCAGGCTGGGGGTGGCAGACAATGCATTATCTGATTACTTCCCTGTCAGTGTATGGAATATCAATTTTTATTTTATTTTTCAAAGTGTTAGCTGACCTGACAGGGATAAAATGAACACCTCATCACTGCTTTACAATGAACATATCTGTACATTACACCTAACCAATTCACTGTCTTTCATACACAATAATTATATATATAAATTTATCAGTATTTATTGCAAGGTGCTTTGTACATGCTCTGTCCATCAATCAGAGCAACATGAAATGGAGAATACGCAACACCACTACCAATAATAATGATGTATTCTTGACAGGTTTCAAATACTGCAGAACACCAAACACCAGCTTGAAATGAATGTACTGTTAGAACCATGTCATATTATCAGGAAGAGTGCAAATAGTTCTTTGCAATCCATTGCTTCTAAAATTTGTGATCTGGTTATAAGAACATGACAAAATTGAATATATGTGACACTGTGACATGATAGTGGTTGTGATAATGAGAAGGATGAAATGAACTGAACATTAGCAAAGTGAAGCTGCAGTACACTGGCATTTCAATAATTGGTTACTGGTAGGTCCATCAGAACTGAGTAATCAATACAATTTATCCAGAAATGCAAGACCTACCTATTTCATGTGGTAGTGTGTCAATGATGATTGTTTTCATTTTTATATTCAACACAAGGATAAGAATCAGTGTTGGTACAGCAACAACCTGAAAAAGTTCAAAATTAATAGTTTTCAAAAACTGAATGAAGAATGGAAAAGAATTTTAAGCTATACGTGGTCATTGCTACTTAAAATATTTAAATATCATAACATATTTTATTCAGTGATGGGTGCAGAGATTCATGTAATGTTTTAGTTTTTTGAGAAAAGATGTCAAACTGATAGCTTGCAGTGTCATTCATTATCAGAGCCATCATGATTAATTAATTACAGATTATTCTCTTTTGTCTACTGCATTAACCAAGAGACCCAAATTTTTAATAATTAAATGCAAATCATTTAATATCTCCATAATAATTACATACAAATTTGCTGTTGCTGGTGTTTTTATGGTAATTTTATTCCTGTTTTCATCTACACAAATCATGCATTTTTATCCCCAAGATTTTCCTTGACAACTCTGTTTATCAGCCTCTGTCTGGGTTAGCTAATCAGAAAGCACCATAAATAAACTCTTTGTGTATAAATTTTCATATTTCAAACAACTCCGTTTGCTTAATATAAAATTAGATATTTCTCCTAATTAAAGAGTTGATTAGAGCAAAACATATGTAAATTAAAAAGATAATTGATATCTCTGTTAATAATGCACATTTATTATAATAAGCATTTTCCCATTTTTTTGAGAAATTGGAAGAATCTGGACTGCTGGTAATCCGAACTGTCAGACTATAAGTCAGATCCCAGAAAACCGCAATCCAAATCTTCACTTCTGTGATAACCTCAAATCTCATACTGAAGATATCAGTTGCAAAGTTTCTGATAGGAAATGAACTCTTATAGATGTAAGATTTGATGCTTTCACGGTGGTGACTATGAAGAAAGCAGTCTTTTGGGATTTGGCACCGTGTATATGTGGTGTTAACCGACGTTTCAGAAGAACGTATCGCCTCCATCTTCAGGGTAGAAGAAAAAATATAAGAAATCTGCAAGCGAAGAGACCGTGAGAACCGGTAAAAGCAGATGGAGGTGATACATTCTTCCGAAACGTTGGTTAACACCACATATACACGGTGCCAAATCCCAAAAGACTGCTTTCTTCAGCTCTTGTAGAGTCTGTGAATTTGTAAAGATTTATGAGAAGACAGTGATTACTGAATGTCGCACCATATTAAATAATTGTCCCCTTGCACAGATGGAGGGTTACTGAAATATATTTTTTGAAAACACCAGGATATGACACGAGGCAAGCTTTCATGTGCTACTATGAAATTCTAATATGTTCAGGCCTCCCTTGTTATTACATCATGCCTTCAGTTAAGTTATTCATTAGCCTGCTTATGTCACTTTCAGTTTCACTATGGTTGTCTATAAATTATCAAATGTAGGAGCCATAAAACTTTGTAAGCTTTGATATCTTATTTTTGAGCTCTTTCTCCGTATAGGATATCAATGTATATCACTAGGATGCCACATGGAAAACTCCAGCAAAACTTTGCTGCTGCTGAGAATATAATAACGTGACAAAAGTTTTAAGAAAAGCCTGTATTCCTTACATCCTGAGTGACAGTAGGCAGTTTTCCTTTTGTGAATTTGGTTAAATGATTCATAAGAAAGAGAGATTTAAAGTACTATTTTTGGCTGCACTGTGGTTCTTTGTAGGATTGAATTAAATTTGTAGCTTGTTCTTTGAATATATCTGATCTATGATATGGGGCAGAGTACACAGGTGTGTTCAGATGTTTGTAATAACAATTAGGCTAAGGGATGGCACATTCAATCCTGCTTATTGGTCACCAGCTAAATGAGGACAGTGTACTAAGCAAAATGGAATGGTACTTCTAATGTGACATATGGAACCATTCCTTAATGACATCACCAGTGTTATGGGATCAAGTGTGTTAAATGCATTAAGTGGATGATCTAATTCAAAGGCTGAAAACTTGACAAGCAGAATAACAGTTTGGCACACTGTCAGAGGATTACTTGACATTTCTGTGAGCCATTATGTCATAAACTTATCTTTTTGGGTCAGAAATATGAAACTATTTTAACGAATTACTATGCAAAATTTAGGAATGGATATGTTTCAAATATTTATATTCACAATGAAGTTCATCTAGAAAATAATGGACATAGAAAAGTGCATAAGACATAAAATCGTGGGCAGGGCATGTAGCACAAATGAGGGAGAATAGGAATGCATAGAGGATATTGGTGGGAGAGCTGGAAGAAAGGAGACAACTGGGAATAGCAAGGCGTAGGTGGGTGGACGATATTAAAATAGATCTCAGAGAGATAGGATGGGATGGTATGGATTGGATTAATCTGGCTCAGGATAGGGACCAGTGGAGGGTTCTTGTGAACACGGTAATGAACCTTCGGGTTCCATAAAATGCTGGGAGATTCTTGAGTAGCGGCAGAATTGGTGGCTTCTCAAGAAGGGCTCAGCTCCACGAGTAAAAAAAAATCATCAGTTATTACCACACCAAGCACCCCACTAATGATGGCACCAGCTCTGAGCGAGCCACAGCAGCAACATTTGTTCAATATTGGCATTGTTTTGTTGGTTGATCACCACAGCAAGCGCTTCAGGATCTGCTGGAACACACAGGATACAATTATAACAATTTATGTAAGTATTTTACTGTAGTGTATCAATTCAAAGGTGAAACATTTCTTTAGAAATACACTGGATACAAAGGGTACAGATATTGACAAGATTTTAAACCGGAGGAGGGTGTGAACTTCACATTCAACATGGATTCAAATTTTATTAACGAACTCTATGGACCATAAGCTATACCTGTAACAGACCGTGGAGACCCATAGAGTTGTGAGAGGTTGAGGCTCTCACATTCTTTGTACAATCGACTCATAGACGGCGGTAAGTTTGTCAGCCTTATGCTCCAGCTGCCCTTTACCTCCCCCTCCAGAAAGTTTCCTGGTACTCATTTCTGTTAGAGGCTCAGTCGACCCAGGGCCATAGTGCGGCTCTAAGGATTAGATAAATTGAAAAAGAATCCACCTCATCGGGACTCGAACCCGCGACCTTCAGGCTTGTAGCGTAGTGCCTCAACCAACTGCCCTACCGTATGCCCCATGGACCATAAATGTAAGGTAAACTGTCCCTGTGCTCAACTAATTAAGCACTGTGCCATGAAGGTGTATGGGGGAGTGGAAGTGTAGATCCATATTTTCTTGACCTTGGCATCAGCTGGAGGTGAATGGTCAAATTCATGCCCTGGCTGCTTTACTCCCAAGGAGAGAGCACCCAGTACCCATTTGATAGGAGTTTGTGTGAACCACAGTCCTTTAAAATCTGTGTGCCCAAAGGACAAGATATACATCAGATTAATTTGTAACTGGAACAAAGCAGCATGCCTAATTCTTGAGAGAGAGAAAAAGAAAAGTGTACTACAAGTTCTTAAATGAGTGGCTTCAGAGCTGTCACTTCATGAGGAAGTAAACGTAAAATTGCACCTGTGATTAAATATCATGGCACAAAGGTCTGTGTGGGCTCCCACCGGGGTCCACTAAGTAGGAGGCTGGGCGAGTCTCGGAACCTATGTGGACATGGTGACGTAGACAAAAATCTCCGTGCCTGCCACAAATACTTCACACGAGGACTGCAATGCAGTTCCTCTCATATATAATTTTTGAACAAAAAAAATGAACTTCATGGGACAGTTGATGGACGATTCCCAGTGATTATAACGCGTATGATAGTTCGAAAATTTTAGTCAAAATTTCTTAGCCTGCAAGGTCATACATATATTTCATTTGAGGGGTGGAGGCTGTCAATGTTGTGCTTCAGATACATTTTTACTTCCGTTATATTCTTCCCACGTAACAAATTACATAAGAAAATCACGGGTTTACTTCATTCGAAATTCTGCAGTCATTCGTCCTCAATACGATGCTGTGAAATAGGTTATTGGAAGTGTTGCGCTCGCTGAAGGCTTATTTTTACTCTTTACTTCAGCCTGGCGCCGCTGTGATATTTGGAATGCTTCTATACAGATTTCTGTTGATCGTGTGGTTGACGTAAAGCTCTTCCCAGAGTGTACGTTGCTGGCCTCTCTCCACACAGACACACGTCATGCGCTAAATTTGGCCGCACCTCAGTGGACCAAGCGGACCAAGTAACCCACTGCTTCTACAGTGCTGGACCAAGGCCACTTCAACTCACTGGCAGGTGCACCCTTCAACAACGCGTCGTCTAGAAATGCAACGTACAAAGCACTGACCGTCACAATTCTAGCTTCCTCCAAACCTACGCAGTTTAAAGTTCTAACATCAATTCGAATAGCAAATGATCAGTGAATGATTCAGAGTGACGTATTTAGCACGAGAGAGGTTTCCTTGGTGCGAAAAATGAAAATACGTCATTTTTGTAGCACATTTAAAAATACGCTTGTATTTGGGAGGTAACCGTTTCGAATCTGTCATATTGTTGATTATACTGAGACTTATGTGGTTTTGCTCATTGCCTCTAAGAGAGTGGGCTACTCGGTAGCGTAGTTGGTTGAGCCACGGAAGGTCACAGGTTATTTTTTCAATTTACCTAACCTTTCCAGTCGCACTATGACCCTGGGGTCGACTCAGCCTCTAACAGAAATGAGTACCAGGAATCTTCCTTGGGGGGGGGGGGTAAATGGGGGTTGGCGCATAAGGCTGAAAACCTTGCCGCCATCTGTGAATCGATTGTCTAGAAGATGTGGGAGCCTCAACGTCTGACAGCACTATGGGCCTCCATGGCCTGTTACAGAGATAACTTTACCTCTAAACGAGTGCCAAGGTATCCCCTTGAAATAGACCACGAAGTCGTCTGCAAGGTTTTATTTCGTTGAATGGCAAGGGAGTCAACTGGCTATTTTAGGATCGCAGTAAACATTAACAGCTTAACTCTTGAGAGCACAGTGGTTATCACAGACATAGCCTTTTTTTTAAGATTAAAGAACTCGAATTTTGCCACATAGTGTACTAATAGGTTTAGGGTTCTCAGAATTAGCAGTAACTATTCATCCAAACGGCATTCACCCACTAATCTTGTAATAGGCACGTCTGATGTTTTCTGTCGGATCGAAACTGAATTTTTAAATAAGGTTTAGAAGGATTTCAATGTTATTCAGGTATCAGAATTCGTTAGGTCTGTAGCCGTACAACGCATGCAGTAACAGGAGCAAAACACAACACAGAACACGCTACACAAATATATGTAGGAAGAATGCTCACATAAAAGACGACTGGCGTAATTCGCGTGTTTGAATGCGACGTTGGAAGAATCCTGAAAAGTTTTATTATTTAGAATTCATCGTCCTATATGACGAATACAGATTTTAGTCATTTTAGAATGAAGACATTATGGCATGCAGTACAATAGTTTAACGTGCATAAAGACACCTGAAGATGGCACATTAGTGCTGAAACATGTAGTGTGGAAGTGAAGAATAAGGTGAAAAAGTATATACACTGTAAGACGGTCAGCATAAACCATGGACTGTAGCCGTTATTTTGACAACGATATTAGGCGTCTCTCTTCTTGGTAGCGGGGTTTATCCTGAAGTTAGATGGTCACACAAAATAGTTCAGTATGACCCCTTATTCTTTGTTTTAAAATAAGTGAAAAAGGAAATACAGATGGAAATTAAAGCAAAATTTAATGCGATTAGAAATGTTTATACATATTAAAATCATAATGGCATTATCTATGTATCTTTAAACAGCACAGATTACAACTTTAACAAAAACTGGTAAACATGATCTAGTTCAACAGCCCCCCCCCCCCATCTGAGAAAGAGCGCCTAATCTCTTGATGTTTGTGTCCAGCCCCATGTATGTTGGAGCTGGGACACCGCGGCTACAATTTTGTCAGCCTGCTTTCGATTGGCAGGAACAATTCTTCCCTTTTACCACAACGTCCAGCTCGATTTCGTGGCCCATCCAGCCTCTTATCCAATGGATATCAGTGGCGAGCAGCCACAGACACACACTGACAACATGCCTCCATCTGGTGCCGAGGTTAAGAATGCATGAAGCTGCACCAACACTCGCCCATGTCTTATCACGTGGTCCTTAGTTGACCATCCATCCATCCATCAGTAATCTGTCAGACGACAGGTCCACAGTCTCTTCCAAAACAGTTCCTCCACTTAATGCAATCTTCTGCTTTTGGAAAGAGACTATCCAGGAAAAGTGATAATGTGGTAGTTTTTCCATTTGCTTTCCACATCGCAGTACAGCAGCCGTTCAAACCACTTTGGTCACGCCTGTTGCTATACGAACTTGAACCATCTCGAGCATCATTTGCTCTGTGCTTCAAGTCGCTGCTGATGACGCTGCTTCCGACATCAGTTTTTGGTGTCTCTCTTCGTCTGATGCCTACNAGTTGACCACATGGATAAATTTACATTTGTCCCGTAACGTGTTACCCGGTCTGTCATCAACGTAAAAGTAAAAAGTAAATCTATCCCTGTAACAGGCCGTGAAGACCCACAGGGTTGTGAGACGTTGAGGGTTCCACATTATCTAGACAATCGGCTCAAAGATGGCGGTAAGGTTGTCAGCCTTACGCGCCGGCCGCGCTTTACTCCCCAGGAAAATTATGTAATTAATTACTGGTACTTATTTCTTTTGGAGTCTGAGTCGACCCCAGGGCCATAGTGCGGCTGGAAGGGATAGGTCGATTGAAAAAAATCCAATGACCTCATCGGGACTTGAACCCGTGACCTTCCGGCTTGTAACGTAACACACAAGAATTCGCAATACCAACGGGAGGGTGACAACTCCGGTAACAAATGACAGATTCTTTTCTCGTAACATAACGTTAAATCCTACAACCGGAGTGATGACGTCATATGTTGACAGATGGCCTACTTCAGCGGCTTGCGTAAAGTGGCTCTACCGGCACTGGTTGTCCTTACATGGTCGGCGAAAGTTTTCGTGCACGCGTTGAGTTGGGCTGCCGAACTTGATTCCCAACTTGATCATAGATGGCAGGTGAATCAAATAAAAGTTGTATGACATTGCAAAGATGGCAACTTAACCAGAGACAATTGTGCCGTTATGTCATGAGGACATATGACGAGTGGAGGTACAGTTCCATGCATTCTCAACCATGGCACTAGCTGTGAAGGTCAACAACATTCAAATGTGCTGTGTAAGTTATTGTAAAATGATCACATTTAACAGATTGGGGTATTCTCAACTGTGACATAGTATAGACTTCGGTCATGAACATGGAAGAAGAATGCTTTGGCACCAACCAAACTGTATGGTGTCACAATCTAGGAGACCACAGTCTAACTGTTCACTGGTGTAATACTGTCACTTCTTATAAAAGAACAAGTATGTACTTTCTGGAATTACTGGTAGTGAGACGTAACCTCGAAAGAGTGAAACGTGAGTGTTCTGTTTGCTCAGCCCATAACGGTATTTTCTTTCATTAATACATTTATGTATATTTTCTGAAATGCAGCCCCTTGACAGACAGAAAAAGGACTGGGATGGCACAGATTTTATTAATCTGGCTCAGGATAGGAACCAGTGACAGGGTCTTCTGAACACGGTAATGAACCTTCAGGTCCCATAAAATGCTGGGAAATTCTCGAGTTACTGAGCGACTGGTTGTATTCTCAAGAACTCAGCTCCATGGAGTTTCCACTATAAATATACGCAGTTATTCTTGGAGTCGGGATAGTGATTGGCCACCGGTTGGAATACTGAAGGGTCGGAGTTCGAGTCCTGGTAGGGGCAAGATCTCTCCTCCTCGTCGTCCAGACCAGTTCTGGGGCCCATCCAACCTCCTATACAGTGGGTACCGGGGACTCTTTCTCCTGGGGTGTAAAGCGGGCGATGAGTGAAGCTGACCACTAACCTCCAACTAGTGTCGAGGTCAAGAAATCATTGAGCAATACATCCATTCCCACATACGCCTTCATGGCGTAGTGCTTAATTAGTTAAGCACAGGGACAACTTTACTGTTTTTGTTACCTATATATGCAGTTAGGGGCACGCGGTAGCGTAGTGGTTGAGAAGCTATGCTACAAGCCGGAAGGTCGCGGGTTAAATTCCCGATGAGGTCATTGGATTTTTTTTTTCAGTTGACCTAATCCTTCCAGCCGCACTAGGCCCTGGGGTTTACTCAGTCTCTAACATAAATTTTCTTGGGGAGTAAAGCGCGGCCGGCGCGTAGGGCTGACAACCTTACCGCCATCTTTGAGCCGATTGTCTAGATAGTGTGGGACCCTCAACTTCTCACAACCCTATGGGCCTCCACAGGGATAGCTTTACTTTATATATGCAGTTATGCTGTCTGATCGGCTTACTGACTCATAGTCACGCTTCACAGGTTGCCTGCCGCTTAATGAAACGGGAAGATGTATGTTGAGTAAGAAAGGAGCTGCAACAAGATGACCAAGGACTTTTAAAAATACTATTACAATTTTCATTCGAAGAGACCGAGGAACACCTCCCCTTAAAAAAAAAAAAGAGACAGGCACGATAGCCGAAATTCGAATCTGGTATCCCCGGAATTCAAACAGTGGATTCTAAACAGTTCTGACGATGGTGTGTAACACTCAGAATTACTGGCGTTTGGGACTTTTTTTCCATCGTCCAGTATTCTAGAGACTAGTAAACACGACGTTTAGGAAACTGCTTCTGTTTCTGTCCTCAGGTGAAGGGGGAAGACACTTGCTCAGTTGGGTCCCTTAGAAAGAGCTAACCAATCAGATGATCGAGTTTAGCTCTTTGTAAGGGACACAACTTATTTATTATTATTATTATTATTATTATTGGAGGGGTGGGTTTCCCCATGCACTGCGACTAGTTGTTAATCTATTGTGCGTCCCCCTTTAATATTCTACCAGTCGCCATGCCCTTCCAGTACTGGTGCTCGATATCAGCCCCGTTCTGCCAGCGAGGTCGGCCCTCTCTGGCAGTGGTCCCGGAGGAATTGGAAACTACGACACGGGACACACGGCTTAAATTCCTTCCCGGAGGACTTGTTCCCTGAGGTGTGAACGTTACCCCTAGACTACGGAGGCCGCTAAGGGACAGAACTTAGTAGGTGTCTCCTTCCTCACCTAAGGACGGAAACAGATCTAGTTTCCGAAACGTCGTATTTTCTAGTCTCTAGAATACTGGACGACGGAAAAGTCTAAAAACCCACTAATTCAAACATAGAGCGTTCCTGTTGCACTGGCCTGAATAATGAATATTATATAAAGGTAACGACATACTATTTTCGAGTAGAAGATATGCATTCAAGATAATGGAATTAATATTTTGTAAGGGTAGACATTTCTATTTGACTCAGAGCTGTAGGATATCTTTGTGGTTCAGCGCTTGTGACAGAAATAAATCACAAATCTCCTCCAGTGTTCTATCTTATCACCTCGTTGGTGGTCTTTATTAAAACATATAATGTTTAAACAGGCTTTTATTACGTTCAAAACCCCTAGAAGACTCAAGAATTCTAAGTTCACACATACAAATAATTCAATGTGTAATATAATTTTGGTATAAATATTCCAGCGCGTTTCTTTATATTCTTTTACTTTCAGTTTACTTTAGACATAGGCAGGCTGCACTTAAGAAATGTCGGTTAATCAGTTGTTGCGGTGTTAGAAAGAGCAGATGCGTGGTTTGTGCCATGCAACAGAACTGCCTCGAGCAAATGAGATTACAGCACAGTCATGTGTGAACTATGACGAAACTAGAATTAATGGCCATCGCTAAATCTGCGTGGACGAATTGGGGGCATCGGATCTATGTTTAACACGTAGAACTGTTAAAACATTCTTGAGAAATTTATAAAACGTCGTTAGTTTATAGGTTAGGGAAATGATAATTCTGACACGAAGAGGTAAAGAATAGAAACAAAACTACTGAATATTGTAGTGTTGTGGCTGGAACTTTACTTTGTATTTGAGATGAAATGGACAAGAATACCAACTCTTTAGTAATTCTGTCCTGAGGTTTTTCGTGGTTTAGAAGAGAGGACACAACAATGGATAAAGGCATGTAACAGATAATATGGAATTATAAACATGTAAAGCGAGGAGTAAAAGAAATATCGAGGAGGCACTGCAAAGAAGATTTTTCGGGCCGGTATGTGTGTAATTATTGAAAAAGAAGACACTGGTGTATTATTGCTTTAATAACGTCCATATCCCTTATTTTAAAACAAAGAAATTAGAGATATTAAAACACGACAATTATCTGCATTAGAACTCCGAACAAGAACTGAAATGCTGTAAAGAATTCAACCGGAATAAGCCAAGTGTTTCCCTGACACTGCGAGCTGTCAGCATTTGGCGGCCTCACCTGGTGTGGACGTCTGCTCCCGCACAAAACCAAACAACACACACATCCACTAGCTGCGCTATGCAAGGACTAAGCATAGAAACAGGATTGCGACAGCCTGTAGGTCGACCGACCGTCCTACGACCACCAGCCAGCGTCGAACTGTGAGGTTGGCAGCACCGACAGTCATGACGCATTAATTTAAAAATTCCGTGCATTTTATGAAATTGGAATGTTCATTGCCCTGCTCACACGAATCTGCCGCTGGACCTTACCCTGAGCTAGAAGAATGCAGCTTATACCAGCGCACCCTGTTCCTTTAAGATCCACATTAACATTATATTCCTATCGAAAAATATACCTTAAAATATACCATTTCCTTCGATTTTCCGAACAAAACTTTGTATGTGTTTCTCATCTCCTTCTTGCTCAGCCCACCCCATTACGCCTAGATTTGACGATAATAATAACAAATTACGATAAGTTGGTCTAGAAGTTATAAAATGTCTTAATAGACCCTATGTGATCCCCCCCCGCTTCTCCTATGCTCTTAGGTTCCAATATTCTCTTCAGCAGCATATTCTCCAACTTCCTCAGTCTATGTCCTTTCTGGCAACGTCGTTAAATAAACTGCAAATACAATGTCCTTCCTTTCAGGCGACACTCACTCGACACTTGATACACTGTTATTAAACAATTAATTAGCGGAAATTTATTATATTCACGTCCGTGATATATGTTAATTTGGCAAATGTGTTTGTTAGTACCTCCATATATTTTTGTTACCCCCTGGGAGCCCATGGTTAAAAAGAAAGTTGGCTCAAATGCAGACGGGCGAACCTGATTGTTACAGAAATTCGTTCCAACGTGGTTCCGTCGAAGATACACGATAAGGAAGGAAGGAGTAAAGAAAGGTAAAAACGAAAGACGAAAGAGAAGTTACAGATAAAGGAAGAGATTAATGAAGCGAAAGGAAGAAAAAAGAAAAAATCGAACGAAAGGGACACAGATAGAGAAGCAAGCAACAAAGAAACAGTACGTTTAAACGCTTCGTGTGGCCGTGACGCAGTTTTCTAACACGCCAGTCTGCCACTGGTGTCCGTTGCAGCATCACAGGCAGCCAATCGCATAGGCAGTTTCACGGTCTATTCTTTTTCTCTGAACAACCTTGGTTTCTGTGTCACTCTGCACTTACGTATGTCTTATATGTTCCAGCAGAAGAGTACCGTCACCGATTGTCATCTCGATGAGGTAACAACTATTGTTTGTTTGTTTGTTTTTTAAGTTTTGTTTCTGGAGAGGCTACTCTTCGACTTGCATGAAGGAGATGCGATCACTTGCCTCGGATTAGTCGCGTTCCACACCGCAAGTATTGCCGTTACCCGTTAAATTCCATTTCCTTGCTTTTGTCGCTACTGGTAACAGTAAGGTCGTCACCGTGCACACCCGTTGCAGTCTTCTTGGCATTTTATTCGTGTTTTACCAGCTGTAGACATTAAATAGCGGATAATGACGGGTGATGAAGTACAATTAATTTGGAAGGAAGTATAAGGAAGCCCTTGTGGTGTATGTATTTTGTAGTATCATTCCACAATTTTTCTCGAGGCACTAAGGGAAACCATACAGATGTTAGTCTGGATAATTGGCCGAGACTGTAGCCCCGGACGTGCTGAATACGAAGCAATACACGCGATTTCTATTCTCTGTTCTGCTGAATGTAGTTTACTCATCTAAACTGCATTACTCAAGAAGAAGGCTCGTAACCAAACTCGACAGTTGCATTACTTCATTGACCAACTTCATGTTGCTGTTTCCATGGATTGCATCTGCATGTGAAAAATAAATTGTCGTTTCTTTTGTCACAAAACTGCTGGCTCAGCAGTAATATTCTTGACGCGTATTCTGAAGGCGACTGTTTTGAATTTCAGCCAGAATAGCGATTATCCTGACTGAAGTTGTTGTGTGTTTTTTTTAGTCCCTTCATGGAAATGCCGAGTTGTACCTAGATCATGCAATGGCCGCTTCTTTCCAAATTCCTTCCAATTTTTTATTCGTCTATCATCCTACCATTCGACGCTATTGAGTTAAGTGAGTGACGACGGCGTAGAAGACCTCACAAAAGCAACTTTGTTTTGTGATATCTTGGATACGTTTACTCTGATCACAACTGTATTTTATTCGAATGACTGCATTCTTGGGAGAAGTTCTATGTATATAAACATAGTTGAAAGAGATTTGCTTTCGTTATAAAGCGGCCGCTTATTCCTCTGTACACTGCTGAATACCAGTTTCTGTCGTGTGTGACAGGTTTCTGGGAACGGTTACATAACTAAACGAGGACGAACGTAGCCAGCAGCAAATTTTGGTGCATTATATACAAGGAGATTCTTACCTTTCGGTGCGAGGCGCATAATAATTTTGAGGTCTGACGGCCGATGTCATTTGAAATTAAGGAAAGTGGACTTTATGGACCGCTTGACGACATTATGCTTTACGGCGTGTAGTGCAGTTAATGCGTGGGAATTTGTTTATGATTTGTCAGCAGTGCACGGCAGTTATCAGCTCCATTAGGCATCTGATTTCAGTTACAATTAGTGAGCAGTGTGTTCCATCACGGTGGGGTATAGGTTAAAGGAACGTGTATTTCTGTATGACACCTATTTGAAATACGGATCTACTGCAAAGTTTCGGCGAAAATTTCGACGTAAATTTCCTGATGAAAGAGTTCCCAGCAGACAAACAGTTTACAATCTGATGACTAAACTTAGATCAACGGGAATATTGCCTTTTGGAAAGAAGAGAAAGCTGCATGGTTATAAAATTATCTTCTCTGGTTTTGAAGTGGGCTTGAGCCTTTAAAGATTGCATTTCCTCCAAATAATATATACGAATTCAGTTCCTACCTCACAGGAAACATACTGCTTCAACCACAAAGATGAATCGGTTAATGTTGATTAGGGAAAGATTCACTGTTCTTTTTGAGAAATACATAAGGTGCATGAATACACTCTGTGTGTAGACTGCAGTGCATACGGTAACCACTACGATTTTAATAATTAATGCACTTCGTCAACAGACAATTCATACCATCACCCACTGAATTAGTTATAGTGCTGATAAGCTACGTGGGTAATATACAAGTATTTCTATCTGTAACATAATATCCTTATATCCCCACTGTTTTCTTCCGTCCTGTGTGCTTGTTGGTTGCTGTAGACTACATAAATAATGTTGTGTCTGGCTGTTGAGGCCACAGCGTATATCACATGAAGATATGCCGTAAAACATAACTCAAAACCATATTGATTGTGGTCATTCATAACTGGCGATCATTTAATTCCAGGTAACGTCCATGGTACAGCACACAAAAGTCTTTCATGCACGATGCTTTTCTTGGCATAGGTTTGTTGGCATAACTGTGGACCAGCGTGCTTCACTTGTTTCAGGATGTTATTCCGGAAACCTGAAGACGGAGGAATACGAGAAGAGACAACTGGAGCTGGCCCCGTGACGTCAGAATTATAAGTCCTTGGTGAAAGATATTTCGATAATATCACGAAGTGTTGACCTGGTCTTCATGGTCATCGAGTCTCAAGGCGAAGATATAAGTGCTCGAGACTGACTATTACGGCAGGATTAAGTCTCTTTGATCGCTGCTAACTCAACGCCGTTACTTCTGGGACTTGGTACGTAGCGCCGATACGAGAGAGAAATTGATGACCAGTCTGTGGACTTGACACTGGCCGAACAAACCACGAGGTTCTGCAGACTCACAAAGCCATGTCATCGTAACTCACGTTTTGTCATTGTACCCCATTCATCAAAGGGGGAAAAAAAATAACTTGCAGGCGAGACTCTGAGCTGTCGGTAAGAAATACAATTTGTCACTCTATTTCCGTTACACTCTGTATCTTTATTATGACTAAAATAAGGTTTTACCTACAAGTTTTAACATTATGCCCCAACGCTAATAATCACATTGTTAATTTAATGATTCCAGGTTGGTGTAACGGTGATGCTCTAAATTCGCATTTACACAAATAACAGAAGCTCACAGGGGCGACAGCTATGAATATGGAAGGTAATCTGTTGGTACAAACTGCAAACAAACTCCGTGGTTTTAGTCTGTAAGCGAACTATACCGACAGAGCGACCGCCGCTTGTTGGCGAAGTTAGTGTCAACTTTAGCGGATAGAGGGTGTCGCGTGGTCAGCGCAACATATCCCCACGGCCGTTAATTTCGGTTTTCTAGACCGGAACAAACTGCAATACAGGTATAAAATGTTCAGACGTTCACAAAATCACATTTGTTCACTGAGGATTTAACGCAGAAGGAAATTACAGTTGGCATTGAGAATGTAAAAATGAAGGCAGACCAGAATAAAGGAACAGAACAGACTATCTGTAAAAGGCGACAGACGTACCACGCGCTAATGTAGCACATAAACATGTTGCTGAGCAAATTGTAAGGCTGAAAAAACTACACAAGAAAATACTTCATGTTTAAAACAACTTACTTACTCATGGAGCTGAGCCCTTCTGGAGGAGCCGCCAATTCTGCAGCTACTCAAGAACTTCCCTGTATTTTATGGAACCCGAAGGTTCATTACCGTGTACACAAGAGCCCTCCACTGGTCCCTATCCTGAGCCAGATCAATCCAATCCATAACATCCCATCCTATCTCTCTAAGATCCATTTTAATATTGTCCACCCACCTACACCTTGGTTTTCTAATGATCTCTTTCCTTCTGGCTTTCCTACCAGTATCCTATACGCATTCTTCGTTGCTTAAAACAACATCATAATATAATTACAGAAAACAGAGAAAGAATAGAACTCATTATGAAATGTGAATCTTCATTACATGCTAATTCTTTCACTGTAAAATTCACCAGTCGCTTGGTGTAACTGGTTGTAATTTTTATCGATAACCATAATATGTACAAATATTAACGCAATTTTTCGTTACTTGTTTACGATTTTAAGCAGTATATTTGATTGAGATCTTAAGAAGATCCAGCGTTAATCTTCTGTCTTCATGCCAGAACAGCTCGGTTAGTAGTGAGACACACGGTTCGTTTTGAATGTATTTCAGAATCAATGGCACAGTATTTCTTACCAGGTTGCTATTATGTTACAAACAACAATTATAATTTTGTAACGCGCAGTTTTATTTTATGAGCACTTAATAATTTGGAATTTAATTTGTAAATGTAAATAAATTTATTCAAAAAATATCAAAATATTTCAATGTCTTTACAGGTCTTAATTCTGTTACACATGAGATGTTAACTGAACTACAGTGATGGTTCAGTGTTCAGGTTCTACTGAAACAACGTATTTTAATTCACATTAGAATTAAAAATAAATCGAATCCCATTGCAGCATTTGAAGGTACAGATGTGCATTTAAATTAGTTACAAAACAGACAATTATAATTGCAATCCTTTAAGGATATTGTCATTTAAATCGGGAATACTATGACAGTCTTTCGGAAATTTGTTTGCATTACTGTTAATTTAGTGTTTTGTCTTTGGTCGTGTTCCAGAGATCTGAATTATATGAAGCTCACATTCACTAAAGACTGTTCTCGGAATGTAACAATGATAGCACTCTAGCGAACGTTTGAACACAGTGGAATCCAATTTATGCCCGAAACAACATATGTGTACCGAACTCGGCGTGGGTGAGGCAGACAGAGTAATATCTCTGCTCACTAAGTTCCCATGCTGTGTTTATTGTGTTTGAAACTAAGGCCTAATTTAACTAAAATATTTCTTTTACAGAAATTTTGAAGAAACTTACTATTTCGTATGAAAAAGGGACAACTCCAATATATATATATATATATTCATTTCATTAATGAAGTCTATTAAAAAGACTGCATACTTCTGATGTGCCTAGAACCAACGTTAAAAAGGTTAAAAAGTTAAAATTAAACATTAAAACAACAAAAATCTTAGAATTTCTTATGAGTATACTAATATTTCTTGATTTGACGCCGTGTATTCTGGTAGAAACTTACCAACGATTCGGAGGAACCTATTACCTCCAACTTGAGAGTCAAGAAGTAAATAAATCAAGTAATCAGCCCGCTGCCTTTTATTTACTGTGAAACTGAAAATGGAGGCAGTATTTTCTTCCGAAACGTGTCTATATCTCTACCAGTCTACACGGCATCATATCACAGAATATTGTCCCCGCCACGAGAGCCACAACTCTGACGTTTTCATCGTGGTCCAGGTCAGCGTGGGCAGCTGAGTCAGGAGTTTAAGTCCATTCTACGGTCTGATAATAGTATAATTGGGATCACACACTGTTCCTTGTACTGCCACATCAGTCTTTGCTGTTAGGATATGGTAATTGTAGTCACTGAAATTAAGTCCACCTTTCAGGTACCGATGAAGTCTATTTGAGAGAATCCAAACACTTTGATGCAAATCGTGATCAACCTTCAGGTCGTTTGGGAAGCTCAGGCTTTCATTATCATGACCCACAATGCCAAGCAACTCTGGCTTGTATCCGTAAGGTTGCTGTGAATTCCAGCAACCCACTGAGTCCTGTGTTACGAGATTAAAAAACAGGACTCCTCGACGATCCATTGCCTCTCCTGAAGAATGACCACTTTTTATTGCTCGAGGTTCTCCGAGAGGTTGAAACGCATCTGGATTGCGGTCTGCCAATGTTTGATTCCTTATGTATGAGACAGGTACCGCAAACTCTCTGAAACTTGACATGGGGTGATAAAGAAGTGTACGGTCACCAGTTTCAGGGTCGATTGGTGATAATGCAAGGCCAAATATGCCATCAGTCCACCTCCAGGTGAGGCCATGCAAAGAGTAGCGGCATGCAATGGGGTCCGGGTAAAATAAATTATGGACGATCCTCCAAGAACGATCTTTCTGCAAGCTGTACACGACTAAACCGTACCGCCACGTGTCTGACACGTAAGCGTAAGCATCAAGACATCTTCCGTCGCGTACATCAACTACTATATTGGAAAAAAGAGAATCTTGCTTGACTTGATCATCCGGAAGCCTGTAGCGCAGAATCAGTTCATCGGAGTTGAGGTCGAAGACAAGCAGTTGAGGTGGGCAAGCCTGACGACGCATGTTGGCTGCGTCCGTGACACCAGAGTCCATAACCCACAATCTAGCACATGGGTCAGTAGCCATCCTGAACACTGAGGTCATTCCGTAACAGTTGTTGTTGCCATGCCAGGACCAGTTAGGGTACGGTTTGAAAGGTGGTGATCGGGTACCTCCTGCAAGGGCTGGATCACGAGGTATAGTTGCCAGCGTAACGGGAATCCCGCTTCTCCAGTTTGGAAAAGCTACGAATATCCTGTTTTCCCATACCTCTATCCCGAGAGGCAAGCTGTTCTCAGGCCTAAAGGAACCGTTTGCTATGGCTTCTTCACGTCTGAAACAATTTACACAAGAATGGTCGTAAGGAGGCGAAGAAACGTCGTATTTTTATATCATGTTAAGAGCAATAAATTGCCATATACACATAATGTAACATATTCTAAGAATTTATTAATTGTCACATATGACTAGGAAGGAAAATCGAAACTCATAATTATTGTCTGTAATTTAAAATTGCACAGCAAATTTCGTACGGTTTTACCATTTAATGCAATTTCTACCATTAATTATTATAATATTAGATCATATTCGTTAAACTTCATGTTCATGTAGTACCACATACGAATAAACATAGGAATGTTAACCCAGTTCGATTCTATTGAATACAAGGTTCTTGATTTATTACTATGTCAGGATTTTTTTTTTTTAATTTTGAGTCTAGAATTTAATGGAACCCAAAACTTTCTCTTCTTTCTGATCATTTAGTTCACTCTTCCCATCTTTTGAGGAACTACATCTTCACCATGGAGGTCACGCGCTAGCGTAGTTGGTTGAGGCACTATCCTACAAGCCGGAAGGTCGCGGGTTCAAGTCCCGATGAGGTAATTGGATTTTTTCAGTTGACCTAATCCGCACTATTGCCCTGGGGTCGACTCAGACTCTAACGGAAATGAGTATCAGGAATTAATTACATAATTTTCCTGGGGATTAAAGCGCGGCCAGCGCGTAAGGGTGACAACCTTACCGCCATATTTGAGCCGATTATCTAGATAATGTGGGACCCTCAGCAACCCTATGGGCCTTCACGGCCTGGTACAGCGATAGCTTTACTTTTACTTACATCTTCACCATGTTCTTAATGATTTTGAAATTGTGAAATTTTAACATAAGTGGTTTAAATAAAAGTCGATTCTGAAAACTGTGTAAATATGAGCTTTAAATATGAGGGGTTCATTTGTTTCTATTACCAAATAAAAAAACAAACAAACAAACTCCGTGATTTCAGTCCGCAAGCGAACTATACCGACCGAGCGACCGCCGCTTGTCGGTGAAGTTTAGTGCCAACTTTTGCGGATAGAGGGTGTCGCGTAGTCAGCGCAACGAATCCCCATGGCCGTTAATTTCGGTTTTCTAGACCGGAGCCGCTATTTCCTTGAAATAGCTCCTCAATTATCATCACGAGGCTGAGTGGTCCCCATTCCAGACCCACTACTTCTCAGAAAAAATCTAGTAGCGCCGAGAATCGAACCCGGACCTCTGGATCTGCAGCCAGGAAAGCTGACCACATGATATCCCTTTTTAATTTTTGTTATAATTATTCTAAGCCGGGTTTATATATAAGCAACCATATATAAACGTCGTTTCCTTTACTCGCTGACATATTGAGAAAGGCTTAGATGGTCTGAGGCATATGGCTCGAAGGCCAAAATGAACATTGCAATCAAATAAATTAATGAATTTTTATATCAGTTCTTGCTTGAATGAGATTACTTTTCGTTTGACATTTTATTTATACGTAAAATTTTATCAGTATTTCACTGTAAACAGTTAGTCGCATTATTTTGCTATGTTACTAACTGATCAGTCATTCTAATCAATTTATTTAAGGTAGGCGATATCCTTTCAAATTGCTACGGCAATGTTGGAATGGATTAAACTTGAATTTTATTTTTCGCTTCAAAAAATAAAGACTTCATAGCAGGACTTTAATGTCCATATTGCATTAAATTTTAGGGCGGCCGCACACCAACTGTGTCAAGACATGCATCAAGATATGAGAAAAAAGACGCAGTCTTGATTCATTCGTGATTTGTCAGCATGAAGCTGACGTCAGCATCATGCCTCAGACCGGTGTGCGGCGGATTTTATAATCTCATTCGTTTCAACTGTGCTCCTTTCTTTGCGTCATGTTGCAGACTTTGTGTCTTGACTGTCTTGACGCATGCCGGTGTGCGGCTACTTATAGAACTATTTAAATCGACTGTGTGAAATAGATGTTTATGTGAGAGAGATTACAGATGGACTGATTGTATTATGACAATTTCCAAAAGGTGGCGTTTAAAACTTTTCTGTTTGTATGATTTGTGTTAAAGTACGTTACGTAGTTCCGATAGCTGTCACCTGGCTTCGCTGGGGTATATGAAGTCGACCATTTTCCATAGGTAAAGCTGTTGTAACCTTGAATCCGGTATTGATAGCCGTGGTGATGGTGGTGTTGTCTTTCTGTGATACAGAGGCTCGGCTTGAGGCGGTTGAGGCTTGGGAGATGCGATTGACATAGACACAATCAACGGTAGGAAGAAAGCTACAGATTTTGCTGTAAACATAGAATGAACAGTATTACGAAGAATACGTATACACAGTTGAGTTTATAATTTCTTTTAATCGTATGCATGCCCTCTAGACAAAAGTTTTACATGTTATCATTTACATATAAGTCATAATACCCCAATTTCTCGAAGTGCAATTTATTATCTAACAGTGTCAACTGTTATTTTCACCCTAAAACAAGACTGAAAATATTCGTGATGTGGTCTTCTTGGTGTACTTTATTACTGCTTTTATCTACCTCCGAAAATATGGTTCGCATTTACAAGACCGGATATTCTAGCGCCATAACCTACTAAACTGGGTTACGCGGTAGCGTAATGGTTAAGGTACTATGCTATAAGCCGTCCGGTCGCGGGTTCAAGTCCCGATGAGGTCATTGGATTTTTTTCAATTGGCCTAATCCTTCCGGCCGCACTAGGACCTGGGGTTTACTCAGCCTCTAGCAGAAATGAGTACCAGGAATTAAATAAATAATTTTCCTGGGGAGTAAAGCACGGCCGGCGCGTAAGGCTGACAACCTTACCACCATATTTGAGCCGATTGTCAAGGTAATGATGGACCCTTAACCTCTCACAACCCTATGGGCCTTCACGGCCTGTTACATGGATAGCTTTACTTTTTACCTACATTCATGCTTCAAATCCTATATAGGACATGAAAGAAGTTTTTAAACTGGAATTACGAAAATGTCTGATTGTGATTATTTGCCATTTTAGAAACTTTATTTGTATTGTTTATTTCTTGAAGATAACGGATCAAATCTTGGCGAAGATAGTAAGTAGACAGTGTAATCATAAAATTGCATGCAAATAAAAGTTAATTATATTTCAGTGTCATTATGTAAAAATCGTTTCGAATGACGTAGAGTTTAATGGGCCGTGTTCTCTGCCATGTATGATTTTATTTTATATGAAGTTACATTTGACTGATATATGCTAAAGTGAAACTCTGCGTACAGCTTGTAGTGTAAATGTAGACCCACGGTATCACATTCCAATGAATTATGAGGTTTTGCAGACGAAAAGATGGACACGATATCGTCATTATTTATGCATTAATTTAATAAAGTTCATGAATCATTAAAAAGAACAATATTTTTATTACATTAATTTCTAACTAGCTGCATGGAGCTGAGCCATTCTTGAGAAGCCGCCAGTTGTGCAGCTACTCAAGAATTCCCCAATATTTTATGGAATCCGAAAGTTCATTATCGTGTTCATAAGAGCCCTCCACTGTTCCATATCCTGAGACAGATCAATCCAATCAATACCACCCCTTCCTAATTCTCTAAGATCCATTTTGATATTATCCACCCACCTACATCTTGGTCACCCTAGTGGTCTTTTTCCCTCTGGCTTTCCTACCAAAATTTATATGCATTCCTTGTCTCCCCGTTCGTGCTACATGCTTTATCCATCTCATCTTCCTTGATTTGATCATTCTAATTATATTTGGCCAGGAATACAAGTTATGAAGCTCCTCATTATGCAGGTCTTTGCAACCTCCTACCATTTCATCCCTCTTCGGTCCAAATATTCTCCTTAGCTCCCTGTTCTCAAACACCCTGTCTATGTTCTCCCCTTAATGTCAGAGACCAAGTTTCATAATAATACAAAACCGTAGGCAAAACATATTTTTTGACTGAATAAATATTTTGATTTTGAAGAATACTAACGGAACCAATAATAAGCTATGTACAGAAGGAGAGGTTGAGTTTCATGGGTATTCAATTGTAGAAAAACAGATGCACCTAATTATGCACCTAATTTCATTCGGCTCACTCATGAGAATAGGTTCTGCTGACGCACTATGTTACAGGGTTTCCTTTCTTTACCCATCCACGATTGACCCTAGATGCACATGAGACTTGAAGTTCTCATGGTTTTGATTATGAACATTATTGTATTCTGGGATGTGACGCTACACAATCCGCCGTATCGTTACCAGCGTTTTGGAGGCACCTGATGCTCCCATCTTCACACTTTTCCACTGAATATGAAAGCAACAGATACCTCGGGAATACTGAAAAGCATGTTCCTGACTAAACGATATAATATTCCACAAGACAATAATTTTGACCCTAGCTTTTATCTGTCAGATAGTAAGCTAGTGTGCTGATGTTTAAGAGCTTTATGGAACTTGAAGTTTCATTATCATTCACAAGGGCCCACCTCTGGTTCATATCCTAAGCCACATTTATCCTGTCAATCACTTTTTCAAAACTCCGTCGGATTTTTGGCTCGCTACACATATTGTCTAAACTAATTTGCAGAGTAAAATGGTAAAGCTATCCCTGTAACAGGCCGTGGAGGCCCATAGGCTTGTGAGACGTCGAGACTCCCATATTTTCTAGAGAGTGCTTCACAGATGGCGGTGAGTTTGTCAGCCTTACGCGCCGGCCGCCCTCTATCCCAGGAAGATCCCTGGTACTCATTTCTGCTAGAGACTGAGTCGACCCCGGGGCCATAGTACGGCTGGAAAATCTAGTGACTTCATCGAGAATCGAACCCGCGACCTTCCGGCTTGTGGCATAGTGCCCTAATCAACTACGCTACTGCGTGCCCCAATGTACAGAGTGGGGCAAAGTAAATACAGTTATGCTGAAGACAAGGGAGGAAAATCAAATCGGCTCCGAATCGTTTTCAGACTTGTCGAATGCAGGAGACCTTGGGTGACTCCATTTTTGAGGCAAATCGTAGATACTCACGCAAGTACCGTATTTACGCATGTACAGGCCGCGTGCGTGTATAGGCCCAGCACAATTTTCAGACAAAAATGATAGAAAAAATAATTTTCTTGGAATATTATTTCAGGAGTAGAAATTATCCCGAAATTTGGCAACGTTTATTTTTTTTTTAAATGAAGTGTGATTTCGAATATTTCGAATATAAGCCGCACCCCAGTTTTCCTCTTGAATTTTTGGCAAAAAATATGCGGCCTATACATGCGTCAATACGGTAATTCAGTGTCAGTGATGAGGGTTCTTTTGCAAATACGGAATAGATCGTAGTACAGTTTTGTCATGAATACTGTCACGTGTAAGGGTGACTTATAAGACGGTGTTTTGGATTGGATTATTGGATTTATTGTACTTCATACATTCACAACTCGGGACTACAGACAATACAGGGCCATCATTGATCTACACACTTCGCATTTCACCGTTACACACACACACACTAGTGTTCTCAGTCTTCACGAGTCGCATCCCGGCAACGGATTAATCACAATCTTACTGTAACTTCAAATCACCCACGAAGTCTTCTTTTCTTGCCGTCATTCTGCAGCTGCCAGTTCCGAAGACTCGATTCAATTCAATTCCTCTGCTCCCATGATCATATCCTGGCAGGCTGGCGTCTCCAACTCGACTCTCTTCTCGACTCCGCTACTGTTCTATAGTTTGAGTCTAATGTTACCACCGACGGTCAGTCGTCCAGTCTATTTTGGAATAAAGCACCCATTTGGGGATTACGATCAGATTTTTATTACTGTCAAACCGTTGCGTGTTTGTTGATGTGGGGCGCTCTCTCTGAGGAGAGGACGTGTCTGTCGTTTATAATTGCTGCTGGTTCTCGCTAGTGCAGTCATTCTCGGGTCCGAGTCTTGTGGGACTCGTGACCATATTTTACTGTCTCAGTTTCAATAATTCCTTTTCGCCCCATCCTACGACTCTCAGGACTACAGTGGAGGTATTCGATCCCTCCTCCACGCGGTAATGTGTTCTATACTGCTGAACATGCAAAGAACACAACCTCTAATGTTAAGGAGGCGTTTTTATTGATACCTTGCCTAGCAATAGACGTCTTATAGTTACGAGCGTAGGCTCCCGCGGGAATGTGTTTACCGAGTCGTTGCCTAGCACTGGGTAATACTTCACGATATTATTGAGTTTGATTCCACATATAATAATTGTAAATATAAATCACGAGGTCAATCCACGGACTTTTGAATTCGGGGTCAGCAAGAGATCTCTAATGCTCAGTAGACTGAAGAAGAAACGTCTACACGCGCCGTTACGGAACCATAATGTGTCGGTGTGTACCCAAGTTCTTAACGGGAAAGTTGTCTGTCTGCACGCATCATTTGATCCTCTTCATCTGTCTGGTTGCTTAAAGATTCAGGCCTATTATAGTGACGATTAAATCCTTCAAGCAAGAATTGCTTTCTGATTGTTACTGGCATTTTTATTTAGCGGTAATTTACAACACCCGTTAAAAATTCAATATAAAACCCGACAATTCATTATGTAACCTCTCATACTATTAATCTCCCTTATTCCTTTTCAAACCTATATATATTATCAAATGATGCTTCAAGGTCGCTGTTTAACTCCATCTCCCACGTATAAGACGCAAAACATAGTGAAAGTAAAATGATAATTATTTATCTCAGTGGCTCTACGTTCTTGGGGCGACAAGCTATTTCGAAACTTGGAACTCCAATATTTTAGGTGGATATTTTTTATAATTAATTATATAATTTGTAAGACTCCCCAGAAGGTGGATCACACTGTAGCAAGACCTTTTGCTGTTACGAAACAACTGGACGTGGAAAAATATCCATGTCTAGAACGAGGTTCGAGTCCACAGCCTCAATGTTTGACAGCCCAGTCCTACATTTTCCAGATCTGCTGACCATATAAATTGAAATATACTGTCATGTGTCACACGGTGACTAAATAGGGGTTTCGGGTTGGTAATTGGATTTATTTACCTCTTACAGGTCGTAACTACAATTAATTTTTACACTATTGCTGATCTACACAATTTATAATCACGCCACACTAATTTCCTCTATCTGTCTACACTAGTCTTCATAGATTTATAACACAGAAACTATAACAGTCTCACTGAACTACACATTCCAAATATTACACATAAATAAAATCTTCTAATCACGTGTCAAGTCTTCACAAGCCGACGTCTAATTCTTCCGTACTTCTAGTTCCAATTCGCTCTAAACTTACAGCTCACGGCTCTCGTTATATGTATACCCGCGGTACGGACATGGACCTACAGTAAACACA